ATATAGCTATATATTTGTAAATAAACTAGCACTAAAATCAAGAAAGACGGACTCCTTCCTTACTCTGATCTGTCCAGTAAAAGAACTGGGGCATAACAACTGTATGGATGCTTATTGTGGAGTCACTGGTGAAGCTGGCACCCAATGCATTCCATCTATAGGTATTTCCTGGTTCCTCATGTGTCCATGGCCGCATGGCTCTGCTGCTCCCATCATGTCAGGACATACGGGCCTGATTTGTGGTTATCCCTCCATTGGCTAGCCACCAACCAAAAGCTCCTAAACTTCTCGCTCCATATTACTGACTTTTCTCGTGTATGCCCTGCGAGAGCTGCCCACTATAATCTGCCTCTGTAGAGAAACGTTTAAACGGGAGAAGATGCCAGATAACCGGGATCAGAGAGGGAGCTCTTCAATGCAGCCGCACCGTGTGCCAGCGTACCCGCCGGGAGCGCTCCCCGGTCTGCTGGCACCGGAGTCGGGAGGCGACGGGAGGGGGGACACGGGATGGAGGCGATGTGTTACTCTTTACATGCCGTCAAATTGCATTCAAGGACTGTATATTTAATCTGTACCGGTTTCGGTCGTGATGTGCCCCCTTTCCCAGTCTAGGGCCCCGAAACGTTTGATGCCCTCTCCCATCCGCAGCAGGCCTACATAGATGGCTAATGGCTATGCTAACACTCCTGTTAGATATTTGGGTTCGCACCATCCACCTCATGCACACTTAGCCCAGCTGCACAATGTCAAGCATTTCCGCGATAGTCCACACTCAAAAGATAAACAAGACACTTACTGCCTGAGCGGACGAGGTAGCTGAGCTGCGGCGCTGTCAAGCCCAAATGTTGCTTATTTAAATATTTTGGTGATGGGGGAAATCGCTGCCCCTGCCATTCTTCATTCTACCGACATCAACAGGTCATCCCAGGACACGCAGCAGCTGAGCGCGAGCTAGACGGAACCAGTGCGGCACGGAGCGGGGAGTGGGAGCACAACAAGGCGCAATTCTTCACGGCCGGCGCTCGCAAGGGCTGCCGTGCCAAAAACCTGGCTGCCATCGCATTTTCGCACATCTGTGAAATGAGCCTCTTGAACGGACATCGCACTCCCCGGCGACGTTAGTTTTCACTGTTTGGAATAGGCTAATGTTTAAGGTTGTGCCAACCCGGATCCGGCCCTAAGTTGGGTACTTATTCCAAACTTTTATTGTCCCATGTTTGCTGGGCCATCCTAAATGCACAGCGCTACCCAAGGACTCTGTCAGGGACCCCTATCCCTCCTCCTCCTCTGCCGCCGCCACCGCCGATGTGCCCAGGCAGGACGCGTCAAACAACGGCAGACAAGACACTCACCCCCTCGCTGGGAAGCTGATGTAGAGCTTTGGTTCAAAGGAGGAGACGTAGCGCTCCCTCACCTCGCTTTTCCTTGCTCCAGGCAGCCATTCAGTGCGAGGGAAGCGCAGATAGCAGAGCCATCGAGGGCGGTACAGTATCCCAGGGGATTGCGGAACACAGAGCCACTGATCGCGCAGAGCAGAAGAGGAGGAAGACAGACATGACGCGCTCGTCTTTCAATCGCATGATCGTTCCGAGCGCAGCCTCAATTTGGGGAGACCTATCCCATGGCATTTGCGCATTGGGATAGTAAGCAGCAGCCTGTTAGGAGAAACTGTCTCTCACTCTCTCTGTCTCTTTCTCTCTCTCCCTTTCCCCATATGAGCAACAAAGCTGGGGAAAGTAGGCCATGAACTTATGTAACTTTGGTGAAGCGGTGCGCGCATATAAAGAGGGTAAGGATTTATGTCTTCCTAAAGCAAGTTAAGGCCCAGCTGCAGGTCAAAATATGGACTCAATATGTTTTGACCACTGCCCATAAACCTCTGCTCGGCCAGGCGGTGCAGCAGTATGTAACATTAATTAGCCTATTTTCGTACAAAGGCATTAATATCCATTGTGTCCATGCATGCATTTATTCATGTGGGTATTTTATATGTCATCAGAACAGACAGGAACAGAATTGGCCCTCTGGAGTTATGGATTTATGAATAATGCCTTCATGCATGACAGCAATGACAGGGAATAGGGAGGCTGTATAAGATGGAAAGAGATAACAACAATAACCTGACTGGCATGGAGCAGAAAGAATGGGAACTCCTACAGTGGTGGAAGAAGTACTCAGATCCCTTCAGTAAAAGTAGCAACACAACTGTGAAAATACTCTGTTACAAGGAACAGTCCTGCATTCAAAATATTACTTAAGTAAAAATACAAAAGTATAAGCATCAAAACATACTGTACTTAAAGTACTACAAGTAAAAGCGCCCATGCAGAATGGCACATTATCATTAATTTATATCATATTACTGAATTATAATTACCAATGCATTATTTATTGTGTACATCACATTAAATGGTGTAGCCTGTAAAGAGGGAGCTAGTTTTACTATGCATGTAATTTGAATTACTGCTGGGTAGTTTGTAAATTTTCCACTGCAAATCAATAAAGTCTTATGGTTATACTGTAACTTTTGTATTGATCTGGTTCTGAAAAGTAGCTAAAAGTTATGATACTCAAGTAAAGTACAGATACCTCAAAATTGTACTTAAGTACAGTAATTGAGTAAATGCAAGTTACTTTCCACCACCGAAATCCTACACAAGTGGATGATGAAATACCATCTGTAAACTGTTCCTTCTGGGTTGATGTACATTTTTGTATGAACATCACTGTCATGTTAGAGAGACCAGCATCTCAGACTGCAGCCTGGAGGGGATGAGTTTGTTTTAGCAAAAATACAAGTTAAATCTTCATTCACTAGATAATTGTTGTTTTGTCCTGTCTGTATCGTTAAAAAGCATGCAGGGTATTTTATAATGTGTCTCACTGTAGCTGTAAAATTGAAAATTCATCCTAAAATATGACTTACATTTTGTAGTGTGCACCCTTGTCCATGAGTAGAAACATTTTTACCATGTCTATACACCTATATAGACAAACCATGTCCATGGTAGAAAAAAATCCAGTTTATGCACTCAAGTGTGGGTTGATAATACATGCCTTTAATAAATATGGGTTAACACATGTACAGTACATCAGCGAGTATCAGCACACTTGCCTTCCTCAGGACATATAAAAAATGATTCTACACACCTGTGTTGAGTGCACGCAGTACAAATATACAATGACCTATCAGATACTCCTTTAGGATGTCATCCAAAATGTATGGCTTTGCAAGAATGAGAAGTATAAGTAAAGATATTAGAAAGGACTCTTTTGGCCTCTTGCTCAGCTTTTCCTTTAAATTGTCTTTTATTAAGGTCAAGTTGGTCACAACACTGTACAATACTCAAACTTCCCCTGAGATCTTCTTTGTTATGTCACTGTTTTTTTTCTGTTTTTGTTTCCTCTGTTTGGTAGCGAGACTTCTAGACACATATTGACATGAAATTGATGACAGCTTCCAGTATACAGCACAAACTGAGACTCAGTGTACAAATATACTGCAGCCTGATTCTTCACATACAGTAGTAGCATAACAGGGTTGGTATGGCTGGACTGGGGTTTGACCTCTGGATGACGGTTCCTTGTAAGTCTAACTTAAGTGTTTTGGAGACATGCCTTGATTTAGTTCATTTGTCTTTTTATTTGGAAGCCATAGCAATAGTCAGAAGGACAAAAAATACTGCGATTACAGATTTATGGAAACTTTGGCCACCCCTGGGCAAATTTGTTGATTTTAAAATCAAAAGAAGGCAATAGAGCACACCTAAGGGGTCAAGCAAGGACCTATAGGGAGGGGGGTTGGCATAAGAGGATGGGAGGGTATGGGGGTGTTAGACAGGGAGACACCCTCAGGCAGCCTGCTGGGCACAGTGCCCCGCTTCCCTGTTGCCAGCCTCTGGCACTAGCAGCAGGATGCGGTGACTCCATCTCAGCAACAGCATCACAGATTTGGGCAGACTGCTACGGGGTCCCCAGCCAATCGGGGCGCACACAGTGCCAGATCACTCCAGAAGTAGCCAATAGTAAGCCTGCATGTGCTTACTGTCATCCCTCCCAGATGTGAATTCCTTGAAACCCATAAATGCAGACACAAATATGCAGCTCCAACTCTGTGACAAAGTGTGCACACATTTACAGTGACTCTGTGTGTGTGTATGTGTGGAAAGAGGAGATACACAGATACTGTATTTTCAGATGAATAAATCATAACATTTCCCAAGTTGATTTAAAACTTGTCAGCATCTTCAGATTAAGACAGGACTAGTGTTTCCCATAAAGATGCAAAACACTGCTGCATGTGGGGCTTTGTTTCCCTCTTGTGGACACTCTGAGTAATACAAGGGTGTTGGTACTGTTACAGAACATACTGTAGTACTAAGAATAACTGTGAAGAATTAATACTGTGTTCTAATAGTATGTTTTATTAGTTTAATTGTAATTAATGAAGCAACTTGTGAATAACTTTGTTTTCCTTATGTGAATTTTTATATTTCTAAATACAAGGATGAGTTCATGGTACATTTCTTCCTTTATATTATTTTTATTCATTTTATAACTTATTGTCTTGTTTCCTCTTACACATTATACACACATCATGGCAAATACATGACTAAAAAAATAAAATATTAATACAATATACACCAAGTCAATGACATTTATCATACTACAAACTGTAAAGAAAAAACAATAAATGTAAAAGAAAAGACATTTTAAAAGAAAAATGTAAAACTAAATTAAGCATAAGCCTTCAAAAATTCTCAAGAATCCACAACTGGATAATGAATCAGGATCTGTTGAATCTAATCAAAAATATTCATATTCTATTTTCAACCTGTGGTCTGCGGCACCCTGGTGATCCGTGAGAAGAGATTGCAGGTGTTGTCTGACCATGCATTTAATAATCTTCATTCACATTTCCATGTATTACTTTTTGATTACTGATTTGATCTCCTGCTTTATACGTACCTTCAGGTTTTGTTCAAGTAAGCAACTGTGTAGTCTTGATTCTAAGTGAAATTTTTTTGTGTTAAAGCTAGATGGCAGAGTTGTACTTTTACACTGTGTGGTATCTTAAAGTCAGGTGGAGATGGGGCCAGAAGTCTGTTGTACAGGTGTTGCAGCATGACAGGACAGAGTGATCAGGGCTGTCAGCAAGCGGAAGCCTTGAGTAACACCCAGGTCCCAGAAAAGAACAAGAATACAGAAGTGAAACAATGCAAAGAGCAACGGTGCATCACGGACCCCAGGTGTGAGGTGTGGTTATGCCAGTGAGAGACACAGAACACATGTTTAAATATCTCATAACACTTTACATATCCTCCACAAGGCTTCTCATGACATTGTTAAAGGTTTTAGTTTTTGAGTTTGTTAATAATAGAAAACCAACGGACTGTAAAACTGATATTTACATAGTGAGTAGAACATGAGCTGTTGACTCCAGGTGCTAGAGAGGTAATAAACCTAACTCATTACATAAAAAGAAGATTTGAAATATCACTGTTAACAAGTATTAATAAGTGCAATCAGACAAAACAAATCATTTCAAAACAATGGAAGAGAGAAAAAAGATGCAGGTGTAACATCATTTACCTCATTTAAACATTTATTTTCAAAAGGCATAAAGTTCTTGTAATAACAATTAAAAAGCACAAATGTGATTACTTACATGACACTGAAGTTATAAGAAAAAACTGCATTTTATAACAGAAAAATCACCTTATTTCATTTAACCTGAAAAATAAAACAGAAAACATATGGATTAGTAATATTTCATCAAAATGTGTGGTTATATTGGAAATGCATTGTATGAACAAGTAAGTACATCACAGTTAGTACAACATCAGTTACACCTATGTTGGTATAATATTGAACAGACAATAACAGCAACAGACATAATTCAGTATAATTGCCCTGAAATTTGAAACAATGATTGTCAAGGTCAAAACGTTACATTTCTGACAGAAACATCTCAATGGACGTGACTCACTGAGTTGATTCAGCACCTCTCTAATACAGTAGTTATGGGTGTTATATGTCATGATTATCATGGGCTACTGACATTTATTCTCTCACAACCTTCTGTCAGTCCAGTCCTCATGCTACAAGAGATTTTCTGTGCAGTTTGAATACCTAAATCTAAAATGGTAACATATCAACTCATTGTTACCTTAAAAGCAGTGGTTCCAATGGTGAACAGCAGAGTGATGATGAAGAGAAAGATGAAGGTGATGGCTGTGTTTCCCATGTTATCTTCCTTTGGTGTGTAGGTAGTCACAAACGGGCACTCTACATCCACTGTATTCAACCCTAGGAAAAATCCACACCCACATTCAACAACAGCTCGAGAGACTGACCAGTAAATTATGTTCCATTCCTAAAGTAGGGTGATAAATGTTATAACCTCCCAGGTCTGAGTGGATTCAAACAATAAGTCAGTAAATAAGTTAATAAGTCAATAAAAACATGCTGGCAATGAATGTTACTTATTATCTCATGAGGGATTTTATAAGTTTGGCATGTTCTTCTAAAACATTGATTATATTGATCACAGTGATCCTTCAATGATCTAGATTTTCTTTTGAAAGACCCCGTTATTGGTGTGACATGCACGACTTGGCTTGTGAATCAGTATATTTATTATGTGACTGAAAGGCCACAGACCTGGAGTCAGACCTTAAACAATCACCTGTCTTGTGCTGGGGGTGCAAGACCCAGTAGAGGAAACACACATACACAAAGACAAGTCACACAAACTGTGTTAATGCACCACCTACACATAAAATGTGCACATGTTTTCCTAAAATGAGTGTGGTGTGTTGGCAGTGTTATTCTAGAGAATACAATCCAGTGTTAAAAGGTTGATATATTGTAATTGTCATTGTGCTATAAAACTCTGGGGTAACACTGTGAAAGTACACTTACAGCATGACAAACACGTAGCTCAAAATGTTGATTAAATAAAGACATGAACTGCATGCGACAAACAACAACACAGTTGCAAAGTGTTTTTTTTATTTTGATTTTGAATCTGCATTAAAAAAGACAAACACCATCATATCACAAGCAACAAACATTAACAACAAACAACAGCAGACACAGCAACACAACCATCTACTGGGCCTTGCACTTTTCAGGGATGTTCATGTTGAGGTTGACCAGGTTGGTTTGTTGAAATGTTCTGTGTCCAATGGACCTGACAATGGCTTTAGTTGAGTTCGCCACAGATTCATGGTGAACCTCACAGCTATAAACCATGTCATTGTTTTTCCACTGGTCAAGGCCGAGCGACAATTGGCTATAAGCAGAAAACACTCCATTGTTTTCAATAGGACTTGTGGTATGGGATTTGTAATTTGAGCCTGCTGCCTGGTCATCAACAAGCCAAGACACATAAACTTCTTCAGGGTAGAAGTCTTTTATATGGCAAGTCAGGGTCATCGTTTGAGTTTTTGGCTGTTCTACTGGAGGCATCATAAACACTGAAGGACGCTGAAGTTGTCCTGCTGTAAGAAGGTGAGAACAGTTAGGCCTCCTGACAGAAATAAAAGTTCCTACAGTGCTGCTACAAAATACACTTAGAATTAACATTCATAATGTGTTTGATGGAATGACAAGATCCATTAAATACAGGCTTTGGAGTTCTTACCAGGCTTCCTTTCATATGCTGTCTTTTTTGGTGTTAACCAGTTTTGATGTTCAACAACACAGTTGAACCGCCTCCCCAGGCTCCACTCATCATACGTGACTTCGAGTGGAACCTTAAACGTCCCTGTGACTCCTGGCTTGGGGATCAATGAGGCACCAACTATTTCATCTCCATTGTGATCCTCCCAATGTATCCTGGTTACGGATGGAGTGTTTACTGTGACTACACATGTCACCTGTCCTTTTCTGTTTAAAAACATTTCCTCCAAACTGGGCTCTACAATCTTTACATCCACATCTGCCTTAGGACATCCTTGAGCTGAGTGAAGAATTAATCCACAATTACTGAAAAGAAATGTCTGCAATACCGTTAATATTTAAATCAAAATTACATTAAAATTTTAAAGCAAAAGTACAAATTTACTCACAACTGCAGGAAGGGCCGTAGGTCAGAGAATCATTCTTATATTCATGACCTTTTTCTGTTTTCCCCTTAAACACACATGTGAACTTAGTCCCATGTGGCAATCCACTGCTCTGTACTGCAATAAAACGTGCTGCGCTGTACAAAGTTCCATACTCATTCTTTTCGCTTTGCAGAGGGGTTTTGATCTCATATATTTTGTTGTTGACTTTCCCTTCATTTTCCAGCCAACTGATCTCATGCTCTTCTCGGGGTGAAAAACCTTTGGCAAAGCAGGAGAAGGAAACCTCGGTTCCCTCCTCAGATTTCAACACTTTAACAGTTGGCATCCGATAAATCCTGTCTGAAAAACACACATATACACAAAAATATGTATGCAGAAGCAGGCGGAAATATTTTTATATACTTATATATATGCAGAAGCAGAAATGAGCGTTGTCCTAAAAAGGTCATGTAATCTAGATTTGCCGTATACAACCAATATTATTATGATGATTTTTCTGTAATACTGTATATTATACAAATTGCACACATACAGTATGCACATAATGAATACACTCCTCAAACACTTACTGTACTATAGCTTGTTACTAAAGTGTGCAGAAAGAGTCAAAAGACAAATAAGATTTTCATATTTAAAAATGACATTACTGTAGAGCAGTTTTAATACTCGCTTCTGCATATATATATTGATTGTTCAGGCCAGCAGACACAGATTTAATGTGGATGTTAATGAACATACAGTGAAACTGGAGGCAGACAGAAATAAGGAAGAACTAGGATCACGCAGATAGATGGAAAGAAGGTGCAGAGGACAAACAGTATATAAAATAAACTGAGTAAGAAGCTGAATATATATGAGCAAGCTTCAGGCTTCTCATTCCACCTCACTGTTAAATTTGCCCACTGCTAGTTAAGAAATTTACTATATTTAAGAATATGCCTTGCTGTTTAATTTTTGTTTATGCTGTCCTTTTGTATGTTTCTTTTAAATGACAGATGACAGAAACTAAACACACATATTTAGAAAGCCACAAAATAAAACAAAAATAAAACAGAGATGAAACATTTATTGTTAAATAATAAAAACAAGAGCATTTGTAACTTGAATTACTTATCTGACATAAGATCAGCAAATGATGTATGAAAGCATGCTGCTGCTGATTATATTCTTATCTTTATCAGAGGTAGGCTAGTATTTTATTAGTAGTCATTTCTTTAAATCACTGTAAAATGTAAAGCTTTCTTTGATTAAGGTAGTTCTGTTAATATTGTCTTTTTTTTCTTTACTCAAATTAGCCAGCCAAATAAATATCACATCATTAATCAGTTATTACCAAACTGATTTTACATTGTAACATTATATTAATCAATACATTTATTTTTAAAAACTTGAAACTGTTGAATAACTTTAAATTTTGTAACCAGTTCTTTCATATAAACATGCTACAATTACAATGATATTCTAAAAAGACATATATATAAAACTTAGCATAGGTCTTACCCATAGGTTTGATGGGACCAGACTGTACGTTTCCTGCAGGATGTGTCACACCACATTCGAAACTTTGCTTCCCTAATGAACTCTGTCAGGGCAGCCCCATTTTTGGTCCATGAAAACTCTGCTGATGAGGGTGTGAAGCCGGTGGCAAAGCAGCCAAGAGTGACCGTGTCTCCAGTCCCCGAACCACATGGGATCAGAGGAAACACCGTTGGTTTAGTTGAAGTGGCTAAGAAAGGAAAAACAAATATGTAATTAATATACTAAAATAAAAATGTAACAGATTAGTTTAAACCAAGCATTAGTTAAAACAGAGATAAACCAGTTGAGCTGATTCAGTGTTACAAACCATGACTTTACCTTTTAAAGTGTTGAATGTGGAAATTTCACGTTCCCCACGAACACGGACCTTTATGCTTCCATATCACATGTATTTAAATAGTGTTTGTTGTGATATATTTATCCTCTGTCAATATTATTATTTGTGGCAGTTTTTAAAAAAAATATATATAAATAGGTAAATTACTTTAAATGCACAGTTTAAAATTTTGGCAGTCAAAAAATGTATTATCTTTGTTCAATTTTAACAATTAGGTGTGACACTAAATAGTTTTCTTACCTGATGTAACAGTTACCATGGTGCCTTTCCCCCAAGCGTCAAAAGTACTGACACGGTGTAAAAGGTCAGTACATCCAACATACAAAAACTAGCACCTTGAAGAGGCTGCTGGTGCCACTGAAGTCAAAATATGCAATATTAAACAGTTAAAATATTACACTTTCAAGTATGAAGACAAATAAAAGCTTATTTTTCCTGATGCCACAGTCACCATGTAAGATTTGATTCTTATAGGCTCTAGTTACTTTATAAGCTTTAATTACTTTTCATAACTTTAGTGTCCTTTAGTTGTGTGGATGCTGTGCAGCCACTCTTGTTTTCCGTTTTTATTATTATTATTGTTATTAGTGTGGATTCGAAGCAACCACACTAAAAACAAGAGTTTTCCAAATCTTATTATAGTTTCTTCCATACATTTTTCACCGCTCATCTCCTCCCACATACTGTACTTTCAGCTAGACAACCCATTATGGTATCAAATTGTTCATCTTTTTAAGGACATTATGGTGTGTACTCAACTTTTTTTTATAACTTTCATAGTTTTTCATAAATTCAGCTTTTTTCCACAAAAATCCCCCCCACAACCTTACTTGTTTTACATACTTTGTTGTGACCAATCAGAAAATGTTCACATCTTAATAAGCTCAGTATACTTTCAGCTAGAAAAACCATTCTGGTATCAAAATGTTCAGATTATTAAGGACATTATGGCATGTATTCAACTTTTTTTTACAACTTTCATACTTTTTAAAATATTTAGTATTCTGAAAATGTTCCCCCATTCAAATGAATGGGAAAATTCTACTTCAGCATATTTTCAGCTATCAAAATGTTCAGCAAGGACACTCATGATTCTATTTACAATTTTTCTAAACTTCATACCTTTGAAATACTTAGCTTTATTTTGAACACCTTGCCCCATTCAAATGAATGGGAAAATGCTACTTCAGCAGACTTTCAGCTATTTCAGCTATCAAAATGTTCAGCTTTTCAAGAACATTCATGCTTCTCTTCAGGATTTTTCTAAACCTTATACCTTTGAAATATTTAGCTTTATTTTGAAAGTTTTGCCCCATTGAAATTAATGGGGAAAATTCTACTTCAGCAGACTTTCAGCTATTTCAGGTGGCAAAATGTTCAGCTGTTCAAGGATATTCATGCTTCTCTTCAGAATTTTTTCAACCTTTCCTGTCAGCTTCAGTTCCTATTGCATAAAGTTCACAAATACATTTGATTCAGCTAAACAACTATAAAGAATGATAAAAGTTAATGACAATAAGACTACAGTTTCACCATTTAGATTTTAAAGATGTATTTTTTATACACGCTCTCTTGATTTATCTTTGCCAACTCAATCAACAGTACTGGAGGTTACTACTGAGTTAGTTCATTAACTATAGAAAAAAAAACCTTGTGTATATTTTAGTGGTGAACATTTTGCATGTTTTAAGATTGACTGCCCCCTTAACCACATTAGATAAGGATAATCACTTTATTTGGCCAAGTATGTTACACACACGGAATTTGTTTCTAGTACAGACCCGAAGCAGCCATCTGCAGCGCTAACTCACACCGATGGCTCTAACCATTTGGGGGCAACTTGGGGGTTCAGTGTCTTGCCCAAGGATACTTCGACATCTGGACTGCAGGCATTGAGATTCAAACCTCTAATCCGGTTGGGAGATGACGACTCTACCCACTGAACGACAGTCATCCCGGGTTTGTGGGTTTGTGTATACATGTGATTTAGATAAAAATCAGATCACATTTTATGGCCATTTAGAGCAGAAAACAGGGCATTCCAAGGGGTTCACATACTGTATTTTTCTTGCCACTGAATTGTAGCCCGTTGGCACATACTGGGTTGGTACTTTTTACAAATGACTATAGCTTGCATTGTTACAGCTACAGTTTTAATTTTATTTGTGGAACAGCTACAGTTTTAATTGTATTTGGGATGTAAATACCAATTCTGGGAGAGCTGTATTGGTTACCACGATAGGTTCACCCTCTTTACGCAGTCATAGTAATGTGATTGGTTGAAGGAATCTGGCAATCTGTGTGACCTGCTGTGATTGGGAGGGAAGAGGGGTGAAGAGAGAAGTGGCAAGGAGGAGAGAGGGAAGAGGGAGAGAAGAGGGAAAAAGAAAAAAGAGACTGAAAAGA